GATTATTGAAAGTGGCTTTAAACTCGTCGACCTATATACGTTTCCTTTCGACTTCGTTACGTTCTGCAAACTTAAAATTGTTTTGAAAATCAGTGCTCCGAATACATAATCTGAAAATCATAAACGCGTGGATAAAATGTGAATTTAGTCGTGAAAGAATTTTTCCTTTTAGAAGAGCTAGTTCTAATTAGAGGGAAGATCAAGATTGACTAATAGCGCGGTTAGCATTAGCGGACATCGTTAACCGGACGGTTACGAAGATTCCACAAGGCGTAGCCGGTCTGGACGCAATTTCTCATTAAAGATAATGCCTCTCGTCCCGACAATTGCGCTCGCACGAAGACGTAAGAACGGATCGTGAGACTGGCATTCCTCTTAATTAGGATCGCTGGTTGTCCGCCGCTGCGAACGGTGAGATACAGTGTTCGCCAACTGGTTTGTTAAACAATCCTCCTGCAGGCCTCGTTCAAGGTTGTACGAGATCATTTCGCACGCTGTCGCATTGTTGCAAAATCAAGAACAAGTCTTCACCGAACGTCGGCGAAAGTTTTACGCGAAACGATTTACCAACCGAACCGTGCACCTGAGGGCAGTTAAATCCAGCTGGTATGCGTCCCTCGAGCGAGCTGCTCGCATCGGTGTCCACGACGCCATCGTCGACGCATAACGGTGACAACAACGACGACGCCGGTGATAACCAACGTCCGCAAACAGTCAGTGCTCGCGAAAAGCCGGATGGCCATGGCGGAATGCTAACGTCCGCATTAATACAAACTCCGTGTAATTAGTAGCAGACTGGTTACAGGGGACGTTATTCTAATGCGTTCGCCGGTCGCGTCAACACATGTGACGCTACACGCGTGTCCTTTCTTTTTCGACACCTAAAGTCTGTAGCCATTTTGGTGCCGTCATGCAAACACCTTGTCACGGATTATTACCAAAAATTGGTACACGAGTTTAACTACAGCTGCGGCTATATCGATTTTTGTGTTGCACGAAAATAAACGTGTTTCTTGTAAAAATGCTTTTGGTGAAACTCTTTCGTGAAAAAATTCGTGGAACATAAAAATGGAGTTACAAAGAACTTTTATTTTTAAATGGAGTCTTTCCCCAACATTAGCGAATATAAGTAAATATTTGATTATAAAGAATTTTCGTACGTAAAATCCGTATGCATGCGACGAAAAAAGAGCAAGAGTGGAAGAAAATGTTTGAAAGACACAGTGTATCAGAGATGGAGTCAGTTTGGAAAGACAGAGAATCTCAAAGGGTTTCATTTCTGTGTTCCGCCATTCGACGCCCTGTAACGTAACAAAACGAACACGAGAGCGGATAGAGAGACGCAACGAGACATTGCGAAACGACTCGGAAAGAAAGTTTTGATTGAAAGCCGGTGACTGGGTCACGGAAAAGACGAGTAGACTTTTGTCAACGGTATCTTAGAAAATTGCTCGAAACCTGGTCCGCCGTGAAAACTTCTTGGAAACTGCATCGTCGACTTACATCGGCGAACGTGGCATCGTATAAGTTCTTAAAGAAGAAGCATTACATCCTTCCTTGTTATTTCTGGAGATTTCATCAGGCTTGCAAAAGTAGAATTCAATTTGCGCCACCCTCTGTGAATCGCAACATAAATACTAATTTCGTATTATAACAAGACAAAAGCGAACTCGGCGGATTTCGTTGTTCTGGACGCGTTGTTTCGCGCACAACTTCCGCCGCGGGGAGAAAACGGAGAAAAATGCAAACGGTGGATAAACTGGCGGAAAAAGCGCGTACCTTATCTGTCGGTTGGAACGTTTCAAGCATTGTTTCAAAGGGGTTGAAGGTGAAAGGAGGTTGATACCGGTCGCGTGGATCTGTGTAGAGGCGCGCGTGCGCTTTTAACGAGCAAACTTTTCTACAAATAAATTTTGCGAATCAACGAGCCACTGTTCCTGAGAAGGAACCGACTCCCGTTGCTGCCAGCAAGTTGGATTCCATTTCTGAACGCTTGGCTCCCGTTTCAAAGAATAAAGCGAACAAGCTTGGACTAAACGAGCCTTCAACAAAACGTATCTCCTTTCGACAAAATAAATTTTGCATCTCTTGGAATTCTCGTTAATGCACAGGAATTTCGACGTAAAAGTAGAATTAATCGATTCGAGAAGTACTTGAAATTTGTCTTCGTTAATCGGGCATTATCTCGACAAACACCGTATCATCTTCAAATTTCATTCCCGAAATTGGTGCTATCGAGTTTCTGGAAACATTGTTTTCGGTAAAAAGGGGCACGGTCCGTCGTAACCTATTTCCAAATGAAGGGTGAACCGTGCAGGGGCGGTTTAATTAAGGAAAGCACAAAGGTAAATCGTCTCCCTTTGGTCGTTTCGTGCCATTCCATGCTGAAATCTCTTTTCGTGTCTACGTTAGGGTCCAACGAAACTTTCCCTCTTCGATTCTTCTTCCCTTTCTTTGCTCCCCTCTGAGAAAACTTTCACCGGTTTGACATTTTGCTAACCGTTTTATCGAACGCCCCTTAACGTTCTATTAATTAGCGAACTTTCGAACAATGGCTTTATTTGACCTTTTCCGCCATTGCCGACTTCGAGACGCAAGAATCCTCGGCTTTAAGCCAAATGGACAAGCACTTGCGATTCCTTTTTCTTCGCTAAAATTCTTTCCGACGCAAGATCTTGTTTCGCCGGTATGATACAAGCGGTTCGTGTCGCTAAACTTAATTATCTTGTATTCGGTATAAACGGGTTTCGCTGTAGTTAACGCGTTAAAGGATACATCCTTGCAGTCGTTAATTATCGTGCTTTTTAAGGGGAAATTGTTCGTTCGACGAAATCTGTCTCTTCCGGTCGGGATTTATTTGTTCCTCGTTAATTCCACGAGTACGCAAGCGGCTTAAAAACTAATAAGTAACTTCCGCAGAAGCGATTTTCTTCTTCTTGTTCATCGTTCTCCCTCGTTCACGGGCGGACCATGAACTCTAGTTCGCCCTTGGATGAATCCTCCAAGCTTTTAAACCCCTGACGTAGAAATATTCGTACTTTTGGAGGGGGAGAATAATTTAACGATCGCGTTTTGCTCGACTTGGAACAAACGCTTTACTACTTTACTAGTGGCTCAAAAAAGATTTTTTTAAAAAATTAGAATGCTACTTATTAATTTGAATATGACCTCTCTTTAATTTTCTGACACATGTTATAAAAAATATGCAAATGATGCGAGGTATCTTTTTATTATTAGTTGGCCAGGAATTTTGGAAGAACTATAGGTCTCGGAGCGGGGTTGGCTAATTGCCGGGAATATGTCTTCTCCCGGTCACAAAGCTCGCGGTCGACAAAATGGCTCGACAAAGTTAATCCCTTCGGCGAGCTTCAACTCCCATCCTCGGCCGCCTCACGAAAGCCGAAATCTCATAAATTCGGCGAAGCTCTCGATCCGCTCCAAGATTTAGCTGAAAAAGGAACCGGGGAACGACGAAGAGGTGGAGGGAGATCTTTCTTCGCCCTCGTTACGTCCCACCCCCTCGAAGCTGGATTATCCAACGGAATTAACTTTCACCTTGGAAAACTCTGGCCCTGCAGCTCTTCGAAAATCCTTTGCCTCCCTCGACCAGGCTTCCCCTTGGACTAATTCTGAAAAATTTCGCGACGATTTGTCGGCTGTATCTATATTACGGTCTCTTCTGATCACCTTGCTGCCTCTGAATTTTTACGGCTCTCGCTTTTATATCCTTCTTTATGGCTGGTTATTTTATTCCTCCTGGCGAATCTAATTTGTTAAATTAATTCCTCTTTTTATCTTCCTTCGTTAACAGTTTGAATGCCATTCATGAGGGATGGCTTTCAATTGAATGTGTTTTAAACCCCACGGCGATGCTTGAAGTGTACAAAATTGAGACAGGGATTAATAAAAGGCTAAGGTAGCTGAATTCTGCCATCTTTGAATATGTGGTCGAATATACTGAACTTTAAGAATCTTAGTCTTCTCTATTTAAAATAAAGGATTGTTGGGTGTACCGCGAGAAGAAAGTTTCTGGTTATCGGAGTGCTAACCCTAACATTAGTTTTTTATTCGATGTTTGGTGTACACCTAGAAAGGCGCAGGAATAGGCAGACAACCGGTAACCGTAGTCAGACCGCCCACCTACGTACCGCGGCAATAAAATGGATTTATCGATGCCACAAAATGGCGGCTCCTTGCCCGCTCTCCACTCTGCTCGTACTTCATTTTGCCGATATTAAATGCTGTAAATTCAGACCACCGCCACTTTTCTCTTTCTCTTTCTCGTTTTCGTTTCGACCGTCGTTTTCCCCTGCGCCGGAAACGAACGCTCGAAAAGAAGAAAGAAAATTCTGCGAAAAAGTTTCAGGCGACTTTAAGCCGCGTCCTCGAACGAGTTCTCGATAAAAATGATTCGTTAGTTGGACAGCGGAATTAAAAATTCTTACATTGTCATTTTGCAGAAATTGAAGATACAATAAAATAAATTACCAACGTAATTTTTATATCGTTCCTTGCTTATATAAATTGTCAAGATTGAGCAGTAAGAATAAAATTTGTTAATTAAAATTTGAGGAAATCGAAGGCGGAAAAGGGAAACCTGCGTTGCACGCGACTGCACACGGAACGCGTTACACCAGAGACGAAGGCAGATAGGAAGCACGGTCCCTACATTGAAAGGACCGACTCCTGAAGTTCCTTTCAACGGCGGCTCACAATACATGACGATATGTCAGCTTTCTAATATCGGACTACTCCGGATGAGTTATGATATGTGAACCTCCGTTCAAAGGGAGAGAAGCTGCGAACGTGGCCCCCAGCGATGAAAGATCTCTGGATCCTTTTCTCTCTGGCTGTCCTTTCATGCTCACCCCGTGGCTGCAGACACCGTGAAGATGACGAAGCGAGACATAGCCGGGAAACTAGAGTCACATTGTGCTGCGGGGGACTAGGTGGCTGTCGAAGAAGGTGAAAAGGAAGAAAGGGAAATGAGAAAAGCATCGTACTTCTTAGCTTCGCTGTATTCTTCGTTAGAACTTTGTGGCAGAGTACAAGACATTAGGGATTGGAGTACACACTAGATGAGCTGATAGAGACTTTCTTTTACAACATGACTGTACATTATTTTTCTTTTAATTGCTCGAATATATTTAATACGTTGGCGACCTGTTAAACTTCGAGCAGAAACTCGATTCAGAATACTTTCGCTGTGCGCATTTATTATTCGAGCGTGTAACGCGACGAAACCGAGCCGTAACATCGTAAAGATACATTAATCCCCTGACAGCTACGTCCTTTTATGGAAATGCTCGACCGAAACGCGAGCGTGTTCGTTGAAAACACGCTGTCTCTGCAAAGAAATTTATTCTGGCAGGACAGAGCTCTCTCCGGCACCGGGTTAAAATTGACCCAACTGAAGAAATATTAAGATTTTTCTCTTTAAAGAACGGTCTAGTGAAAAAATATTATGGCGACGTTACAAACTTTCTACAGAAAATTTCTTTCCCTTTTGCACTATGAGCAGATCAAAATCGACTTAAACGGGAAGGCGATAAGATTGGATTCTTTAAGAAACAAAGGATCCTCGTAAAGAAAATCGTTGCGTTCAGAAATTACGAAAACATGTAACACGATGTTGACACATCGTAATTATGTGCACGATTTGCGACAGTGTTACGTCATGTCTAAATATATACAGTAATTACATGACGATAGTTTATCAATGAACTCTCTGACGGGTCAATGGAGAGTAAATATTTTGCGTCGGCTTCAGCGTGTATGTACGTTCAACGTTTCTTAATTTTCGAAAGTACCCAAAGAGAACATAGAGAGTTAGGAAGACAATTATCGCATAATACACTCTGCATCCTGTACGCTTCTTCCGCGCTCGTTTTTTCGCCAGAAACTCCTTTAATAAATAGTTATCTTTAACTAGGAAATTACACGTGTAATCCGCATTGAATTTCACACGGTTTGGAACAGGTTGCCCGAAGTTGTCAAACAGGCGATAATCGCACAGTAAGTTGCTCGTGATGCTTGTAAATGCTCGTTTTACGATCGGGCCCAGGTTACGCAAAAAAGCCAATCATATCAGCGTAAAGCGGAAACGGCGAACACAACACGTAGCCGACTGCACGGTATAAAGCATCGAAACCAGCCCTGAGTTGTTGGAATTTTACATCCTCTCCTTTCGGCCTGCGATAATAAATTTCGTTGCTGGTTGGTGTACGTTTACAGCTCCGCGTTATGAGCCTTCTGTACGATTCCCTGCTCGAATTTCCGGCCCATCGATCCCTTCCCGATGCAAATTACGGGAAAGCTCGTTGGAAATGGCGAGCACGCGGCACCTTTGCTTGTTTAAAGCAACCGAAACTCGATGAAACGATGTTTTTATCGATAGCCGGAAAATTCCGGCGAGTTAGACGAAGTACTATCGTTTTCGCTCGCAGAAAATTGATACCGAAAATTCGCGCATTATTTATAATCGAATCAACAATTTACCTCGATCAAAGTTTCGAAACTTGTAGAGCTACTGAAAATTTTCGCTTCCACGATCTTAGGTCTAGGATTATTGTTAAATATTTATATAAATAACCCGAGTGAAACGTTCGTGTCCCTGTAATTCGAATAGCATGGGGTGAGATTCGAATTAAAAAATGTCACGCGTTATATGGCACTGGGGTAGACTGACATTTCGCTGGCGCCAAACACGACCCTGTGGTAATTTTGGTATAACATATTTTTCAGTTGTTCCGAGTGCTCTTTGTCCCTGGTCTCGCAGACTACCTTCACGTCCACGCTGAAGATGTCCGCCATGATCCAAGCCCGCTCGTGCATGATGTCTTTTATGGAGACTCCGATGCTGGCCAACATTCTGCAAAGCTCCGCGATTCCACCTGGTCGATCTGACACAGTCACCGCGAACTTCAAAAGGCGACCTTCCGCCGCCAAGCCTCGTTCCAGACACCTTCCCAATATGGTCGTGTCGATGTTGCCCCCGCAAAGTGGCAAGACCACCCTGAATGCCAAGAAAAAACAACAATTAACTCGGTGAACCAAGAGTCAATTCCTCGAAATAACTATTCGATAAAAGGCCTGTGTGCAGAAGTTTTTTTTTTAGCAAATAAATAAGCTTCTATTTTTCGATAAATAAAGAGCAGTACGGTGTACACGGAACATCGTCAAACAACCTTTTTCCTTTGAGTTCTTCCAGATGACCGGCCAAAATGGCTGCCAATCCGGTAGCGCCAGCGCCCTCGACAATGCACTTTTCGTTTTCGACCAACTTCAAGATCGCAATGGCTATCCACTCTTCCTTCACCACGACTAATTTGTCGATCAATGGGTTAGCCGTGGCAAAGGCATTGTATCCGACCATAGGAACCGCCAAACCGTCCGCCAAAGTAGACTCTATAGGTGTATGTATCGGTCGATCTGCTTTTCGCGCTGAATAGAAACTGGGACACCTTTCCGATTCAACGCCCTGAAACGTTATAAAAAAAAGCGCCTGTGAATATCGGAAAAGAGAGTGGTCGATGACCCTTTTCGATGAACGAGGAACAAAAAGCACGTTCAAATGAACGGATAAGAACTCACGATGATCGTTATGTTTGGATGGAGAGTTTTTAGCGCCAAAGCTACACCGGCGATCAGTCCGCCGCCTCCGACGGGAATCACAACCGCGTCGATGTTCGAAACTTGTTCTATGATCTCGAGACCCAGGGTTCCTTGACCTGCCATGATGTGTGGGTGGTCGTACCTGAAACCATTATCAAAATTTCAGAATTCTAGAGTGTCTAGACACCAAGTTTTTGATAGGGTCATTAAATTCTCCTTAAGGTGAAGTGCCTGTACGAGGGTTTCCTCTTATCGAAAGGAAGGCATGGACAGGAATTTAGCAATGGAATAAAAAATAAGAGCAAACGTACCCGTTTATGTATGTCAGTCCCTTCTCTTTCCCGTGTCGAAGAGCGATGCGTTTCGCCTCGCCCATGTCTAACCCTTGGACGATCACGTTGGCGCCATATTGACGACAAGCAGCGATCTTCATGATCGGTGCGAGTACTGGCATCACCACGGTCACTGGGATGCCTAAGTTTTGCCCGTGATAACAAAGTGCAAGGGCATGGTTACCTAACGACGCTGAGATCACGCCCATCTTCTTTTGCTCCTCTGACAGCATCAGCAGGGCGTACCTGGCTCCTCGCTCTTTGAAGCTTCCGGTCAGCTGGAGGAAGTCCTTCTTCAGGTACAGATCGATACCAGTCGCTTCTGACAGCCGGGATTTCTAGACAATCAGAAATCGGTGTCGAATTTTGTATAGGATGCAGACATGAACGTTTTTAAGGGTATTGTTTGAAGTTCAACTTTGAAGACAAACATTCATGAATTTTTTTAAATGGGTTCACACTATGATCTCCAAAGTTATCTCCTTCTGCATGATTAAACTTCTACATTGAATTCTATAGAAATTGGATGTAGGAGCATACCACGCATGGTGTGTTGATGATTCCACCTTTGATCTTGAATGCAGCGGAGGTGATGTCCTCGAACGTGATCTTGAGAGGATTTTCCGCGACGCAGAACGGATCGATCGGTTGTTCTTCGTCGTTCTGTGGACATACGTGTTTACCGTTTAATCTTTCTGCATTTCCAGGCTTGCTGCGTTGGATGTTGAAACTATGCACCAGGAACAAACGCGTCGCGAGTAAACGCAGGAGGAAGGCGAAGTAATCGAACGCGATGCGTGTCAACGACAGAATCGTTGCACACGCCTCGTTACAACGCGATCCCATGTCGATCGTTTTGAACGATGTATCGAGTACAAGGATGATTTCGATGACGATGGAAGTGGCGTGATAATTACGTGAGCCGCCAGCGAATCAAGGTCATCGTTTCCGTTTTGCGCGACCAAATCGATCCCGTGACCGTTCGAACGATCCTGAGAGCCAGTTTTTTTGTTTATGTCCCTCATGGTCGGGGAAGACGAGGCTCGAGTAGCGGCAAAAATCGACTGCTGGTTCGCGGATCGGTCGAGTTACTTATTCGATCGTGAAAGCCACGTATCGTGGCGACGCGACGGTACTTATCGACCGCGACCTTCGACCTTCTTTCTCTACCGACTCAGAGAACTGTGAAGAAGTCTCGTGATTGCCATAGTTCTCTGTTTCCATCTCTTTCTTTCCCTCTCGGTGATAACGAACGATATTTCACTGGATATAAACGGCATGTTCCGATTTCTATGGACAAGTTATTGACGCTCGTGATGACATATGCGATCAGCGAACCAGGGAACGAGATCGTGCACGAGTCGATCGAGGAACTTTGCACCGTGTTGAAAGAAGAATCGTGCTCGCCAACTTTTGGCCAAAGATAACCCTGACTTATAGTTTGGATTCTTTGATTACGAATCCGTATCGATGTTGACTTTGCTCGCTATTGATTCTTATTTATCTCTGATCGTGTCGACTGATCATGGACGATTATGCTAATAAGTCAAATGAAGGAAATTGAAATAATCGCTTACGTGTTCTAGATTCGACTATGTAATACTTCGATCAGGACGTCCATTTTCATTGCTTGCAGCGTCAACATGTTTCTATTTATCGACGATTCGACACATGCATTGCTATCAGCCAGTCGCGAGACCTCTGCAAGTGATAATTTCGGTTTACAAACAATCGGAGAACAGAAGTTTCTTCAGATACGCAGCCTCTCATATTAAAACAGTCGATTTTTCACGTGTCTGCAACTAAAAATACTTGAATGTTATGAATATATGCACTCGTTTTCTTCTTTCCATTCTTAAACGATCCAAGCAGAATAGATCGTAGGTTTGAAAAGGAACGACAGATTATTACCGTGATAGTTATCGTCGATAACCGGTGTATTTCGAGTTTAGAACAGACCGTCACATGTGTCAGCTCTTTGCAGGAACGTAGCGTGAAACGCGAGCTGCGTCGCTCGTAATTCACTCGAATCGAGCTAGCAACTTCTTGGAGCATGAAATCGTCGTTAAAAAGTCTGACGAGCGGGCACGGCTTGTTTTGTACGCGATAAATCGACAGGGAAAAATATGGACAAACCTGGATCGCGAAACGCCCGTAACCGATTCGATCGTTGAACAAATGTTTGATTTGTAGCCTGGCTCGAAAAATTTGATAGAAAACAAAAATAATATATACAGAAATATTACGGCGATATTTTATCGAAAATAAATTGATGTCGGTTAATAAACTCGTTTCATTTTGACGTCGAAATTCTGCGGTTGGTGGTTTCAAATTTCTGAGCTAACGAGCGAGCTTTCCCCGGAAGGAAAAGCGACGTAACAGTTGAGAAAAGAAACAGATACGATGTTGAAAGAAGATATTTTAATAACATGAAGAAGGAAGGATCGATACAGGAGCGAAACGAGCGAAGTTAACTTAATCAGGTGCGATGACAAGCGTTACAAAAATCTAATTCTATATTATTTACAAGAGAGTCGATGTCGCATCGACGATATACAATAGAAAAATACATTTGACAGATTCAAGAGGCGCTGGTGCCTCCGCTGTATTCGACTATTCGTCGTCTCTCCCTGAGAAGCTCGAGGAACCTCGCTCTGGGACTTCCTGGATACTTCAACTTATCCCTCAGATGCACCAGTTCGTTCGAGCTCTCGATATCCGATTGATCTCTCGAACAACTGCACACTTTCGATCCACTGTTCCTCGTTCTTCGATAATCATCCGATTCGAATTCTCTCCTATCAAATGGCACTCTTTGTACAGAAAAATTCTTCGAACATCGATCGTCCACGTCGATAGGTCTCGAAGCGTTTTCGTAATTAGTGGAAAAATTGTATTTGGGCGAATCGTCGCGTTTGATCGGAGGCCTCGGTTCGAAGTTGCTCGCGTTAGCCGACCACGAAGAGCGCCCGAACGTCCTCAGCGGCAGCAAGTCCTCTTCCATCGTTGGGTCCAAGTCTAATTGATCCATCGAACGAGTTCTACCAACCGACAAGTTCCCTGTAATCTCGTAAGTCGTGATATCCCGTTGATCGTCGCCTTCCATGCTGAAGCTACCGCTCAGATCCCCGCAGAACGATTCTTTCATTGCCTGACCATGTTTCTCCCTAAATTTCGAGTAACTCTCGGGACTCTGCGATCTGGAATCGATCTGTCTCGATCGAAGTTTATCCGAAGTTCCGCAACGAACGGAATTAGCGACGTTCATCAGCTGATCGAAAATCCTCTTCTCCAGATCGTCCTCCTGACCGGTTTCGATCAATCGGGAGTTGGCCAGCTGGTCCGTCACGTTGGAACGTTGCTCGAAGAGTAGATCCGCGTTAGGAGGAATCGTGAACTCGTCGTTGGTCGTCGGTGTGCGAGGATCTGTGCTAGGACTCGCTAAACCCAGTCTAGCGCCAGCAGATTCGCAGTCGACGCCGTATTTCTCTCGAAGTAGCTCGTTATGCTTGTCGACCCTTCGAATGCATTCTTCCAGCCTCTGAATACCCTTCAGACACCTTTCGTAGGATTCCGTGGAAACGACGATATCATCGTTCAACGGAGGATCCTCCTTTGGAATGACCCTACGACCTTTCGCTTCCTCGTAATCGCGATTCCGGCCGGAGAAGCAACTCCTTCGACGGCCGCCACGTTTTCCACCGCGTCCGTGACTTGGACTTGCGTTCCTTCGCAAAGAAATTGATCGATTAATACGGAAAGGTATTGACATCGTCTGGGAACAATAGAGGAACTCTAAAACAGTAGCTAAGTACTTTGCAATTCAATCTTTGAAACATAGACCAAGATACATTAACAATATTTTCAATGAAACGTTTTAAAAGAACTAAAAGAACTTGTGCATCATACGAAATACTGAATTGAAACATTGACTCTAAATAAACTCGATAAACTCTGTAGCAAATGTTACATAATAAGCTTGTCAGGTTCGTTGTTGACTATCCTTGATCCAAAGCCCTAAGAAGAATATACCCTTGTTCCTCACCTTTCAAGCATGCTCGTGCCGTTCACATACTCGTTGATGTAGTTGAGATTTCGCATGAACGTTACTGCCTCGCTGAGATACTCTTCAAGAATGTTCCTCGAACGATACGAAACATCTTCCTCTTCATCGTCCACGTTCTCGTAGCTATCCGACTCGCTGCACGTGTTTTCGTGTAACTCTTCGCCGGAGAACTTCACCTTCTTGCAACTCTGTTTGTGATCTCTAATTGAACCCGCGATGTCCTGCTCCTCCCTGAACATCTCCTCGGAACTGGTCGACTGCACATCTTTCCAGTCGTTCTCCAAAATCAAACTAGCCTTCTCCTCCTGTTGAGAATCATCGGTCTCGTCGTTGGAGGAGTGAACGGTATCCACGGGTTCCGACACGTTCTTCTTTTTCCTTTTCTTGATGATGGACTTTAGGGTTGGTTTTGAACTCTGCTTCGAACTTTGAGCCTGATCTAGTCTGCTCTCTGGGATGTTGGAGCTTGAGAAAGACACCTTCTTCTTTCCAGTGTTTACACGACTGGAGCTATCGGACTCGTCGTTGATCTCTTCGTAATTGTAACAAGTTCTACCTACAAGAGAGAGAAAATAAATATCAAAGTGAATGAAGGGGTTAACTAAACTCTTACGTACCCAAAATCAGTGACTTGTAGTCGTGGATCTGGGCAGGTTCTATCGATTCCACGGGGTTCTTCTTCGGAAATTCCACTGGAGTGTCCTCGAAATCGTCTTCCGGATCTGCCTTATCCGAATCCACAGATTTTGAACAATCCTTCTTAGTATGCGCCACGACGTCCGGTGGACAGAAGCTCTCACGTTTCTCGATCATCTCTTTCAGTTTGGCGATCGATTCGCTGGAAGCGTTATTCTCGTAATAATCGAGACTGTCATCGGAGAAACCGTGATCGTGATCATTGCCGGTGGTTGACTTTATCTGCGCTATTCCTTCGCCATCGATCGCTTCGGGCTCCGTCTGACATTGTCGAAACACCCCATTGTTTTCCTTGAACGACAAATTTGTCCTGACCGCTGGAATTTGGTCGGTCTGTGGTTGCCAGGAAGACGATATCGTTGCCGGCCCTTTCGCGCAATCGATCGGGCGAATCGTGTTCACCGGGGGATCGGACCAGTTCATCCACGGATTCTGATAAACGATCGAACTGGGTGCTCTTTTGAAATTAAAACTACGTTTCCTGGTGATAAACGCCTCGGTGATTAATCCGTCCCTGATAAATCCTTCACCGTGAAGCCTGTCTCCTCTCGGCTCGCCCTCCTTGCCCTCGAACACGTACGATGTCCCCAGGGAATTCCTGAAAGTAATGGAATTCCTCGTACCCTCTGTTCGATCCGCAACCGCATCCACTCTGCTCGACCCGTTGGACACGTTGTTAGGGTCCTGAAAGATGTTCTCGATCCTGAACACCCTGCCATCGGTCTGCCCCAGACTGCATCTACCTGGATCCTTCGAAGGAGCAGTCTCGTTCGATTCTTCCGTCTGCGTCTCGCATTCTTGCTTGTTGCACTTCGACTTCGAACAATCGTTCTCTATCTTCGACTCCACTGTATTGGTTGTTTCGATGATGATGTTGATGGTGTCCGGTAGCGATATGCTGATGACGTTTTTCTCCGCGTTTCCCGTGCTCGATCGACTCTGAGAACTCTGAACGGAATTGCAACACTGTCTCAAACAAACTAGAGCTTTGTTCTCGGTCGTTTGCTCTGGTCGCGGTGTTTGAACTGCAAAACTGCGACACGGTGAAAAGACTACTGTGTTCGTCGAACTCTCTGTGTACATCGCCCTTCGATCCGCTTCCGGACAAAGATCGGATACCTCTGTGCTGGATATGTTACTCTCCGCGTAGTTCTGAGTGTCGTCCGAGAGGATTCCGGAATCGTTGCGGGGAGAATGAATCTCGTAATCGTACTCTTCAAGATCGGTCGCTAGACTGACGTCCTTGCACCTGTAAGAAGAATTAACACAAAACTTAGATGTGCTAGAAGAAAATTCCATCTCCTTGTAGACACATACTACCTTGTACCAACATAGTCTATTCAATGTATCAAATATAAATGTAAAATTGCATATATTATCGGTATGTACCAACGCGTCAAGTATATTTTTACGCACCTCACAATGCTCGTTTTCGGCTTGTCCGTCAAGGTAGCAATCTCCTTAACTCGAAGAACCGGCGCCTTTCTAATCGCCACCCGCTCGCAACCCACGTGATCGTCCGTCAACACTCCAACATCCTTGCAAACGACCTCCGTCGGGTCCGTCAGCGAAGCAGTGTCCTTCAAACGAACAGTCTGCAAACACTCCGTCTGCGTATCGACGCAAACCCGTCTCCGTTTCCCCAGCATCTTCCTGGAGATCTCCTGGAGCTTCATCTTCGCCAAGGACTTGACGTTGGCGTTCTCCGGCGGAGATCGCACCTCGGGCACATCCTCGGCAGGTTTTCTGCTCGAGTAGAGTCTCTCCGTAACCGCTGCCACGATTTCCGCTCGTTTCACGCGCTGTATAGGCGTGTGAGGCCTAATGGATCCTGGATCCTGTTCCAAGGAGCTCTTCCTCCGCAACAATTTGTCTCTCGCCAGACTCGAGATCAGAATCTGTTCGTCCTTCGAGCTGCTGGAGCTGCTATCCTTGCTGGTTTTTCTCTTCAGGCTCTCCAAACTGGGTTTTCTAACGTGGGTCTTCGTCTTCTCTTTCGAGCTCTTGTCGGACTCGTTGCTACCCTTTCTTTGGAACTGATCCTTGCTGCTTCTCCAATTTGAACCCTGCTGATCCTCGATCTCTCGGATGTTGTTCAACTTCTTTCCTCCGAGGGCATGTCGCTTCTCTAAATTTGTGTGAGACCTCTCCAGAGGAAAGACAGGCTCTTTCTTCCCCTTCACGATCGCCTCCACCGAGCCGAACTTCCTCGACGTGTGCAAATTCGACGAAATCGAAGCGGATAGAATGTCTACCGAGTCCTGTTTGCGGAATTTAGGTTTCTGCCTGGGTTTGGACACCGCACTCGAGCTCGAAGAGTCTGCTTGTTGATAAACATCGACCTCGTTGTCCCCGGACACGTGACACGAGTTAACGGAGCTACTTCGTTCGTCGTGATCGATGCCGTCGAGCTTCTCCGGGTCTTCGAACGTCTCACGATCGTTAGCTGCCTCGATGAACTCGATCGAGTCCTCGGCAACTTCGTCCGAGCAAATCTCCTCGATCTGCGTCGACGTTTCTTGAAGATTATCGTCCGGTTTTATCAAAACCGCCACCAACGTTGGAATATCGACGAACAGCGACTCGTGGATCTCCCTCACTTCGTCCTCCTCGTCGTTCAGCTCCGTCACTCGGGCACGTTTATAATTTCCCGCGAAACGGTCTGCCCTTAGACATTCGAACGAACTGAACTTCTTTATGGAGGAGTCGGTCTCGCACGTCGTCAGACTTTCGCTCGAATTGGATCTTCGGATCGGGCACCTGGATCTTTTATCTTGGTACGACGACTTTGTTGATAAATTCACTTCCTCTCTTTCGGAGTCAACTTCCTCAGAAGGGTTCTTCTGATTTTTGTGACAGCTACATAAGGGTTTGGTGTCTGGCTCGATATTCTGTGAAACAAAAAGCAGATGTCTGATTATACTAACGTGACAATTACTTGGGGCAGTCATAAGAACTCCCCTTCGAGACGAGTATATGAATATGGTATGACACATATAGGTAGAAGTGAAACGTGAGATGATTGACAGTAATAATAAAAATGATAATAGCCAGAGATATTCGTAGCTAATTAATGGGCGATTACGCGACACAAGAATATTGTAAAATCAGGGAGTGGAAATGCGAATCAGTTCGTTAAACGAACGGCAACACCTGCGATCTGTGTATTTTATCAGCAATCGTTTGGATGGATCTGTAGTGGACGGATGGGGTCAGTGGTCGCTGAATGAGCATCAAATAAACGATTCATGCATTTCATTTGCGTAATGACGGTTCGACGATACGAGTTTATGCTGGTTTCCATAATAAACTTGCCCGATTTATACCCGTTGGTCCGTGAACCAATCTCCGGAATCAGCTTCTAGGCAAACGGCGAGATTTTGCAATCGGTCGAGTGGCGAATAAATTGGTTCAATAATTTTGAATTTGTGCATCTGTTTTGATCTTTGTTACCTGTAGTTTCCAATGTTTATCTCTTGTGCGCGTCTTTGATGGGTAATTATCCCGAATAATACGCAAATTTTCCGTTCGAATTAGTAATACTTGAATCGACTGCGAACCTTTGAAGTTTCCGGCTCTGCTAAATTTGAATCTACCAATGGACTTTTACCGTTTCGCGCACGAGTGAAACGTGAAAAGAAGAGGATAGTGGTGGGTGATATTGATTCAGTGAAAATTAAAATGAATTTCGTATTCCTTGGCTACGCAAATTATTGGACTTAAACTACAAGTTGAAGAGTATTAAAAATTTGAATAATCACATTTGAACTGTAATGTCACGACTCGATATTAAAAAAGATGCGAAGAAAGATACGAAGAAAACTTGCCTTTTCTAGCAACAACGACTTTAGTCTTGCCACCTCGGCTGTCAGCTCCCGAATGATCCTCGCCACGGGATCCTCGTTGACCACTGGTCGGTTAACCACGCTTTGTGCCCTTTGCGCGAAACGCAGGGTGTGCGCTGTCTCGTTGTAACTCCCGCTAGCTGGGGATATCGCTGTAATCAACGGGCATAAGTACCAACCGTAATTAATACCCAGTTTCATTGTGTCGATTGCCGCGAACCAGTTAACCCTTTCGGTATCGCTTTTCTTCAAACATTATGTCCACATTGAACGTCTCTAATAGTTGAAACCAATTCCCACATTCGATGTAAGCCAAAAGCACCGTAGGAAATCCTATGGTCGTTTTTCACGAGGGCTTTCGCAGTAGCGAAAGGGTTAAACGTCCATTTTTTGTTTCGTCGACGAGTGCCGTGTAAAACGACGATAAGCGACTCGATAATTAATCGTGGCGACTCGTTGTACCGGATAAAATATTACCCCGAATCAATTCTCCCCACCCGCGGTCGCTGGCTCGCGATACAATGTGACTAATTGAATTTCAGGGCGGTACGATCAATCGAATAAACGTTTATTTTGTCATACGGTGCGAAACGGCGCGGATCCTCGAAAAATCAGCCGAATTTTCTCTGTTCGAACCGTGCCACGAATTCGGGACCATTCTTGCGCGAAATGAGAAACGTCACCGGTTGGCAGGGATTTTAATTCTATCGGGTGTCAAAAGAGAAAAGGTGCGCGTCTATCGTTCGATCCGATCGCGAATACGTACACTGAATATTAAACGCGCATCCAGGCCGGTTGATAATAAACCCGAATGCTATTAGCAATTCAATTGCTCGTCGATGATCGGCGGTTTCGAATATTTCGCCTCGAAATTAATTATATACGCAACGTGGTCTACCTAGAAATACGTATGGATCGCGGTATGCTAATTAGTCGATATTTTTACCCCGATAAAGTAAATCGAAGCGTTTCATAGTTCAGGAAATTAATAGATTTCAGATTAATAGAATCGTGCAGCTTTTGTTTGTATTCTTCCGTAACTATTGCGACGAAATATATTTCGTAAAAGACAAATACTTTCAACAGTGTATGTGCTAACTATACGTCTAACTACGTTGAAATTCTACAACACTTACAATCGACTTTACAATCGCTGTAAAAGTTCGAACGTCACCGAATCAGTTCCGAAGAAGTGAGAAGCGTGTCTAGTTACGTATATCTACGAGACATCTACTCGACGAATGATCTAGTACCGAGAAATAAAAAAAAATAAAATCAGAAGGCGTTAACTGCTACTTCGACAAAGCTTAAAGGATTTCGTATTTACCGATTCCCGTCGCTACGCTTTCACGCCCGCTTATCGAATTTTAATCTCCGCGCCTTAGCTCGCCTGGAAAAGCATTTAAACCAATTACCATCCGGCTCGAGTCTGTGCTCGGCTATCGCGAGGATAATTTCATGAATCAGAGGTTCGCGATAATAATTCTTCTCTGGCAATTAACTGAAATTTACGGAAAGCTGGAGTTAAGTGACGATGGAGGAGGAGGTGGAGAATCGAGGAGGGAATCTTTTCATTTATTTTTGTCGTCTCGGGAAAGTGAGTCTTCCCGAATCGAGTATCGCCGAGGTCGAATTATAAAAGAAAATGTATGAAAACGTTTCAGCGGAACGTTACGAGTCGTTTAAGGGTTAACGACGGATCGATGATCGTACCGGGAAGAAAACTGCTCGTTGAACGCGTAAATCATCGTTTAAGAGGAATAGCCGAGGAGAGGGCATCTTCTAAAAATAAATATAATGTAGGAGAAGAGGCGAGACGGGATCGTAAGGGTGGTAAAAGTAAGAGCAGAAGAAGGGAAGATCAAAGGGAAGACACTTACTGGCGAGCATAATGGTAGTGGCATTTCCGCCAAGTGCGTCCTTCAACAGCCAAGTAAGCGAAGAATCTCTATAAGGGATGAACCTTCTGCCTGGACCACTTCCGGTCGAGCCTCTCTCCGCGAGGGCTGATATTACGTTCCCTAGAGCCACTAGACTCTTGTTTATATTCGCACCCTCCTGCAAACACGCCAGTTATAATCTCTTCTTTTTCGTACAATGTGTTGTTCCTCCGTTGTAAGCAAACAACCATTAATTAGGGAGAAGTCTCTATCACGTATTTTCTGATTTCCACTCGCTCCCTAAGATTATCGATTTCGGCCCGAGAATATTATTTTTAGTAAGTGACTCACCTTCAGTCGATGAACGCCGCTGCACGTGGCTGCACTCTCGCTGCCCGCCAAATCGACCAAGCGTAGTTTACTACCACCTCGTGGCGAGATCTCGTTTCTCCTCGTGGACGTCGAGCCGACGGCGCCACTCGCGACGCTTGGCGTCTCCTCGTTCAGGCCGATCGTCAGCAGAGCGTGGCTGCGACTGCTGCTCGGATTCTGTAACGTCGACGCTGTCTTCCGGGCCTTTGTCCCTTCCTCCACGTAGGACATCAACGACCCCAGGTTGCGGACTACGTGATGCGTCAAACCTAAAACAGAAACACTTTCGTGGCAACGCTTACTGATCTTTCGACAGACGTAAATTTTAACATCAAAGTTTAGGATGTTGTTGATGTGGAGATAGAATAAAAATAGCAAATTTTGAATTGTTTCAAAAGGACAGTACGGAGAAATAGAGACTTGAAAGGACACTTTTGTGGCAACGCTTACTGGTCTTTCGAAAGATGTAAATTTTTACATCAAAGTTTGGGATGTTGTCGATGTTGAGGTAGAATAAAAGTAGCAAATTTTGAATTGTTTCAAAAGGACAGTACGGAGAAATGGAGCCTTGAAAGGACACTTTTGTGGCAACGCTTACTGGTCTTTCGAAAGATGTAAATTTTTACATCAAAGTTTGGGATGTTGTCGATGTTGAGGTAGAATAAAAGTAGCAAATTTTGAATTGTTTCAAAAGGACAGTACGGAGAAATGGAGCCTTGAAAGGACACTTTTGTGGCAACGCTTACTGGTCTTTCGAAAGATGTAAATTTTTACATCAAAGTTTGGGATGTTGTCGATGTTGAGGTAGAATAAAAGTAGCAAATTTTGAATTGTTTCAAAAGGACAGTACGGAGAAATGGAGCCTTGAAAGGACACTTTTGTGGCAACGCTTACTGGTCTTTCAAAAGATGTAAATTTCAATATCAATGTTTGGGACGTTGTCGATGTGGAGATAGAATAAAAGTAGCAAATTTTGAATTGTTTCAAAAGGACATTACAGAGAAATAGAGCCTTGGAGGACACGAAGCTGCAGCAATCGAGTGTAGAAAGTATTTCCGCAATTATCGGAATTGCAAGCATTCGAAACTGATATCTCTGATTGGCGGTACCTTGAACATAAGGACCAAGTCGAGGATGCTCGCGAACTCTCAGTCCCGTTGTGCTGGGCAGAGCGTGGCTGCGACTGCTGCTCGGATTCTGTAACGTCGACGCTGTCTTCCGGGCCTTTGTCCCTTCCTCCACGTAGGACATCAACGACCCCAGGTTGCGGACTACGTGATGCGTCAAACCTAAAACAGAAACACTTTCGTGGCAACGCTTACTGATCTTTCGACAGACGTAAATTTTAACATCAAAGTTTAGGATGTTGTTGATGTGGAGATAGAATAAAAATAGCAAATTTTGAATTGTTTCAAAAGGACAGTACGGAGAAATGGAGCCTTGAAAGGACACTTTTGTGGCAACGCTTACTGGTCTTTCGAAAGATGTAAATTTTTACATCAAAGTTTGGGATGTTGTCGATGTTGAGGTAGAATAAAAGTAGCAAATTTTGAATTGTTTCAAAAGGACAGTACGGAGAAATAGAGACTTGAAAGGACACTTTTGTGGCAACGCTTACTGGTCTTTCAAAAGATGTAAATTTCAATATCAATGTTTGGGACGTTGTCGATGTGGAGATAGAATAAAAGTAGCAAATTTTGAATTGTTTCAAAAGGACATTACAGAGAAATAGAGCCTTGGAGGACACGAAGCTGCAGCAATCGAGTGTAGAAAGTATTTCCGCAATTATCGGAATTGCAAGCATTCGAAACTGATATCTCTGATTGGCGGTACCTTGAACATAAGGACCAAGTCGAGGATGCTCGCGAACTCTCAGTCCCGTTGTGCTGGAAGACGGCTTCAAAAGATCCCTCACCCTCTCGTTGTATATCTCCAAGTAACTGAAACAGAATTCCCAATCGGCATCATGCTTCAACTATCGCGTTTGATTAATTACGTTAATTTCGCAGCCACGATGAATTTGCCTGTTCGCGGTTAAGCCAGACGCGATATACCTGTATTTTCGGAATTAATTTATCACCCCGTTATTACATTGTTCGGATAGAGTTTTTCTTTGTCCAAGCACGAAACAATATAAAGTGATCAGTATTTTTGGGACAATAGGAGGGTGTCGGTCGAAGGTACGAAGATTTATTGGGCGTTGGTCGCATACTTTTCGTCGGAACGGTGCTTGTAGGTGAACACGCGGACCACCGCAAGCTCTCGGATCCTCTTAACGTCATTACCTGCTCGGCTGTGCCCGTGAAACGTCCGCACGTGCGACCGTAAATCCGCTTAACAGCGATCGGAGTTTGCGCTCTGCGCCCAGAGAAACACTTTCTGCTTGGATTCTGCCTCGCGGTTACCGTCCTTTGCCGTGTCTCTCTTTTCCGCTTTTTCCCCCCGACTATCTGCCGCGCTACTGTTTTGCAAATTTAAACAGCTTTCGCAGAGGGAGGGAACGCCCGAAGGTGGCGATGTAACGGGAACATATCGTGGTTGTAAGGTCGCAATTAGTGCCCGAATCAAACCTTTCCGCGAACGTGGATACTCGCGGCGAAGCTAACGAATATCAACGCTTTGAAAGGGACGCCTGCTAATCAAAGTGTCCCTCCGTTCATTTTTATCAACCAAGCGGAAAAGCCACGGCGATCTCGAAGTCCAAAAATTAGAGCTGTTTCGAATTTCGCTCGTTCATCGCAACGCTAAATCCTCTAAAAGGTTTCGTCTTTTGACATCGCCTGTTTCATACCGTGAATCTGACGGAATTGAACTCAAAGTAAATAGAGTCGTCTGGCTTCTAACCGCTGAAAGTATTCGGAAACGCTCCGAGATGAATGCAGTTCCCGCTGATTCATCGGGGAAGCGCCGCGTTTCCGCAAACTAGAAAATCGAACTCGTGGAAACACGTACGTGTACGTCGCTTTCCTTGACCCTAAAACGTGCTGATTTTCGGCACATGTGAGGAGGTCTAAATATACACCTCTTTGCGATTTACGCGGTTCAGTTATGATGCTAAATAATATTTGAAATTTTTTGTTTTCTCTATGGTAGCACACATAACCATCGAGAGTGCAACAGTAAATCCTTTGGTGTCCGCTTACTCTTTTTTATAAAAAAGGGATAACTACAGTTACAGCGAGAGATCGAAAAAAGGATCGAATCTTCTAATCTGAAGTTATTTGCATTTACGATCGCGAAATTCGAAGTAGAGCGGTTGCAGAAGGGAATTGCCTGGCCCTTAAAAGAGTAACGGCTGCTTTGTAAACTCAGTTTTTTTTACCGCTGCGATTGCGAAGCAAATAGGAAGAATTGCGGGAAAGCTATTTAAACTTTTGCACAGATAATTCTCTGCGTTTGCTTCGTTGAACGTTTTAACTCTTAATTTGTCGTGTTCACATTAAAGCAATTACGGAAGTTGTAACAAATTTACAAAAACGTAAGAATGATTTACAATATTAGTATACTGTTTGAAAATGATTAGAAATGTAATTGAAGAATTAAAGTATCGAATGCATAATAGGTCATAGCACGTAGCCTCAGCTTCGGCGTAACGCACCGATGAGTCAAAGCGAAACTAAATTTACACGCGTTCGAGAGTATTTTAATCTGCCGTAGCAAGAAATCTATCTGTAGAAAATCGAAAGTGCAGAGTCAAGTTTGTGCGAAGGAAAATATGTTTATTATCTCGCTTTCGTCAGTTGTGTAGAGATCTGTCGCGCTATCCGGGAAACTAATATTCCGTTTATATTGCATAATTATCAGATAACGAGCATGGTAATCAAACTCGCTGAAATTCGAGCTAACCCACAATTTGTCTTCCGAATTGTGAACACTAATGACGAAAATTAACGCTGCGTCCTAAACTATTACAACAGCCATTCTTACTTGTAATTCGGTCTGGAAATGAACAAGAGAAATTAGGACAACAATAAAGATACACTTGTACACTATTAATTTCTATCAAGTAATAAAACGACAACTTGTATGGAAATTAGAGGGTTAAAGAATTTCCATTTTTACCCGAGGCGAAGAGAATGAAAAAACGAAAACTGCTTCTCGTGATTGTCGGATATTAGAGTCGGTGTCGAAATAAGAATCGATCCGTTCGTCGTGTCTACATTTCAATATTGCACCGAAAAAAAGAGAGGTGAATCCTTCTATCGCATAGTCGGAGGCGTCGAATTCGTCTAGCTTGCAAGATTTCCGACGTTGCTGATTCGCGACTGTGCTCTCTGTGACCCAGTAATCGAGGGTCGATATTTACGAACGAAGCGTGTAAACGCTTCAGGGAATCGCGTGAACACGTGTGTCGCCGTTTAACACTTTTAGTCTTTCGAGTCGCACAAAACCTTTCGTTGCAACTTTATTTCCGATAAATCTCCATTTAAGCTTTATTGAAATGAGGGAAATGTATTGCTCGCTGGTGAATTTAATCGTGGACCACTCCTTTTAATTTTCCTCATAAGAGTAACATGTGTGTGTTACGCTTTTTAATTTTAAAAGTCTTAGATATATTATACCTGGGTATTTTCATACATACTTAGATCCACATATGTAGGGAGCTACGTACTTAGACATATGCGTACTTATGCATATGTGATCAGGTTTATGCATACTCAGGTTTCTGTACAACTTAGAGTCACATGTGTCCAGGTACCTAAATAGTTAGATCTATGTATGATCCATATGTGATCAGGTTTATACGTACTCAAGTTGCTGTACAACTTAGAGCCACATATGTTCAGATACCTAGATGCTTAGATCTATGTATGATCCATATGTGATCAGGTTTATACATACTCAAGTTGCTGTACAACTTAGAGCCACATATGTCCAGCTACCTAGATAGTTAGATCTATGTATGATCCATATGTGATCAGGTTTATACATACTCAGGTTTCTGAACAACTTAGAGTCACATGTGTCCAGGTACCTAAATAGTTAGATCTATGTATGATCCATATGTGATCAGGTTTATACATACTCATATTCCTGTACAATTTAGAGCCACATATGTCCAGGTACCTAGATATTTAGATCTATGTATGATCCATATGTGATCAGGTTTATACATACTCAAGTTGCTGTACAACTTAGAGCCACATATGTCCAGCTACCTAGATAGTTAGATCTATGTATGATCCATATGTGATCAGGTTTATACATACTCAAGTTGCTGTACAACTTAGAGCCACATATGTCCAGATACCTAGATCTTAGAGCTATATATGATTCATATGTGATCAGGTTTATACATACTCAGGTTTCTGAACAACTGAGAGCCACATAGTCCAGGTACATAAATTGTTAGAGTTTTTCGGATGGATATAGAGCGACGCACTGGGTGCGTCCTCGGCACAAAACAGGTTTAAACGAAGTGTAGAAGAGGTGGAGTGGGTCGTCGACTCGTTAAAACGTCGCGTGATTACGAGGAATCTTCGGCATCGGAGGAAAGCAATCAGCCCCGCGAATTAAAGAAACGTTATCCGTTTGGAATTCGTTCGCTGATTCCTGCGAATTGTTCGAATTTGAAATTCAAAGGGTCTCGTTAAGAGGAACGTGTCGGAAGATCCAGACTCGAGATTGAAAGCGGGTTCAAACGACCCTTGGCTGTCCTTTGCGTAGGGTCCCTCCGGAACCCTTTACAGCCCTCTTACGTATGAATTTCGTGAAACTATAAAACGGAGATTCGATCGAGATGAACCGAAACGGCGACAAACAGAAACTATGTAACGCGGATAGAGATCGTAATGACCGGGAATCGAGGATGCGGTCGAAGTTGAATCGAAGCTTTCGCAGCGATAATGCGAGGAACGAAGACGGGAAAGAGACAGGGAGAGCGAAACAACGAGCGAGAGAGAAAGAGAGAGAAGAGAGAGGGTTCTATCGATCAATCAGCCATAAGTAATGCGGAGCTTTTGATCGGTTACCGTTTCATTGCGGATGGGAAGAGCTGCACGGCATGCTATCACGTACGAATTCGGCGACTTAATCACGTTAAACGTCGATGCCTAATGACGATGCTCCCTGATCAATTGGCGGCCACCGAATCATCCTGGACTCCGAAACATTTCTGAACAACCATGACCAGCCAGATTGGAACGTACGGCTTGCAAATTGATCGTTTAGATGCTCGATAATTGCCGGATAAAGTGAAAATTCTCGCTCAAACAACGATTCGATCGATACTTACGTCCCTAACGCGATATCGCGTTAATTGTACACAAACCGTAATCAAACTTTAATTGTATCTCCACAGTGGCTCGCTATATCGTATCGCAGAATCTTCCTCCGAACATATTCCCCCTGATAGTATAAATAAAAAGGAAGTTGATCGATGGAAGGCAATTCGATGTAGGATTCGAAAGGGGAAGAAGCAGGAAAAAAAGGACCGCGAGACGAGGAGGGAGGGTGTTGTTGGCAGCCATGGAATTAAAACGTACCGCAAGCACGGGAAGTGCAGGACGAAAGGAAAACAAACGCCAATGGTGCAAAAGGAAAACAAAAACAACGGCAAACAGAATTAGCAGCGAGAATTTTCTCGCTGTTGGCCGCGCGAGCGTTGGTGCGAAAAGGAACGAGCGAGGGAAAATAAGAGAAAACGGCCCGAGGGGAGAAAAAGAGAGGAGGAAGCTTCAATGAATTTTCCGCAATGACCAACGTCGGGGAAAACCGATGTTCCCGTAACGATATTTCGCGAAGTTCACGGGCATCGAAGGCCGTAAGACAAAACTGCTATTCGTTTATTCTTCCACGGTGAATGGGAATTGTTCGAACTTAATTATCGATGATGTTCGATCAATTGAATTTCAAGTTCACGCTCGCTTAACCACCGATATACCGATTGTTTCATGCTACGTAAACCTTTCTTTTCTCGTTCGTTCGATATTAAATTTAA